TACAGTATAGAGAACCAGTGGTATGTAAACTTTTGGATAGGATAATATGTGTAAATACAGTTATTGTTTTGTCTTGTGAAATGTAAATAACTATTATACTTCATCAGGAGAAGAGCTAAACAAAATGCTGTTCTCTAACATTTTGGTCATTAACTGATCCATAACTGGCATAATATTTTATGAAACAGGAACAGTCAGGATAAAAATCAACAATCTGGATTGCAAAAAAGTGGACATTTCTTAATTTCAGACTAAACAAACAGCCACCTTTGACATTAAGAAAATAGGTTATTATCGGTCAAAACGAATTGCTAAAGTGTCCCCCATGTATGATTTCCCAGTGAGCTCAGGCAGGGGAACAAAAGTGAGATCTCTTGTGGTAAAAACACACGCAATCTGCAAGTCCTTTGATAATTCTGCAGGTAGCCATAGGAACTTCTCATTAAAAGAGGCAGTTAAAGAGGTGCTATAAGTAAACAGCATGACAGGCAGGCCTAATGAAGAAAATTTGTTAGATAATCGTTAGAAACTCTTCTCTTGTATTACTATGATATCGTGGGAAAGCTCCTCTCAGGGAGAAAGAGATAGAGGGAGAATAGTCACGACACCACCGCGCTGCTGGCGCTCTCCGTGGTTCTGAAGATAAGAGTGGGTGTATAGCCTGCCTGTTTCAGTTGGGTTTTATATCCTCCTGAGACTCAGCAATTCCTTTTTGTTCACTGTAGTGGACATAAGTTGTTTGTTAATATTGCTAAGACCGTATATATTACAGTTTGAAGTGTTTCATATGCCATCTTGGTTTTTCTTTCAAATTTAATATTATAATGATATGATATAGCAAACAGCAGGGAAAATACAATCCTAAATGCACTTAATAAAGTGCAACTAACAAGAAAATAAATTGGGTTATCAAAGGTTAAAAGAGAGGTGAAAATTACTCCCATATCATTTATTGTTGATGTTAAAGGCAACATGCAACTGTTTGGTATTTCATCCATACATCTGGTATTTTTACACATATGGCAAACCTTGTTTTTGTATGTCTGCAGGGTCTCAGGAGTTTAAGATGTTCAAATATCCAATATAACGTGTATTATTTCCATAGTAGATGCCAGATCACTTGCTTTGTGAATCTAACAACTCTTTGAACAAACCAAGTATGAATATGTAATATAGAGAAGTCTCTCTCTGAGGACACAGACGTTAGTATTAATCAGAGGAACATCTAATTGAATCACTGCACAGCTGTGAAAACAGCAATAGAAGTGAAAATGCAATAGCAAAAAGAAAAATGTTGTCTTGGATCTGTCATTACCTTGCTGACTTAAGTGTATATGCAGACAGCAGTAGCCTTGTATGAGCATGGGATGTCTCACATGGGTCACATGGTTATGTGATTAGTGATCCTGTATTGGCTTTCTATGAGTCCTGCATCCCACATGTCAAAACTAATTCGCTTGCGTTTCTGCCGGAGGCCTATGAGATTTATTGTGCAATGGCGCGGGGCACACAGAACGGAAATGGTTAATGTGGAAAGATCAAAGAAGTGGAAACATCACAGGACAGATTTAATCACGGGCCTTCCCCCGGGTTGAATTTATAATCGTTTCTTTAACAATGCACACAGTTCTGTTTCGAGGTTGAATACGTCTTGTTTTTGCCTTTTCATGTGTCGTGATCAGGGACGCGTCTGTCTAAAGAAATGATGGCGTTGTGGCTCACTTGGCCTAAATATCTCACATACAATGCTTATTAGAATTCATGACAAGAAAAGGCAGACTCCCGCAAAGCAGGCATTAAGTCTGTTTGGATTGGCTCTTCCATGAATTATTAATCTAGTCTTTTTCACAAAGTCAGCAACTGCGCCTCAGAGTAATTTTTGCGTGCGTGTGATTGCGGGCCAGACTCTCGCAGAGTACACATCTGTTGGCCATGCTTAAATCCAGGACAGTGCACTTCTTAGAATGAAACAGGTGTTTGTAACCATAGATGGACTAAAGAGATGATCTCTTATCCGTAACCTACTGTAAACTAAACCATCCTTTGGGCATTCATCATAACTTTGGAAATAACAAGCACTTCACGTGGCAGGCCAGAGGCGACTCTTCCCTGATGCAAACCGCATACTTTTATTGCATTGTCAGTCTTACATAAACAATGCCATAAAAGTGTTGTTTATTCAGGCGATGTGTTATGTATATGGGGCAATGGTATTTGCGACAACACCCCACAATACAAAATAAAGCCACACTTAAAACCAAATCTCCCTGTAAGCCTACATAGACTAGCAGGCCGTTATCCGTTTAAGGGGATTTCAGTTTGACTTTTTTTTCAATGCTATGTAGGTGATGTCTGTGAGAAGTGGAACAGTCCCCATTTTAGAATTGTAAACAACATAAAATCATCCTGAATGTATCTGAACCACATAACTGACGAGATTGTTTGTTTCTTTTTGTTGTCAAGCCAGATGTAGGTATTTCGATTTGCTTTTGAGCAAGGCAGAACGCCACTTTTCGGAAGCCAAATTGATCAGCATTTGAGTTTTAGTCATGCAAGAGTGCTGGGAATTGCTGTATATGAGCCACATAGTGGACATGATGACACTATTGGCCTGGAGCAACGCAGAGTTTCACATTGATGTATGCAAGTACTTTACTCCGACTTCTGAATAATCATTAGGGTTACGTCAGAAACTGAAATCGGAGCAGCTGTAAAAGCAAAAATCGGCCATATCCTGTACAATGCCATTCTCTGTAGACAAGTAATCCCTAAGGTGCTGACTGAGGGGTAAAACATGACATGTTATTGAATCAAAGATTAATGCATGTGATGTAACGTTAATAGTTTTGAAATATCACATAAAAGGATGTATTCGCAGCAAGCCTAAAAATGTCAGTTTATATTTATAACAAAGGTGTGTTTATGATATTGTATACTTTGAGAGTCTCTCCTGTAGAAGCCAGCGGAAACTAACTTGCACTCTTCAAACCTGTCCTCTTTTGTGATGGGGGAATTCAGGTCATAATGTAAACAGATGCTTTAGTGTGTGGCAGCTGTAGTGTACTCAGACAGCACTGAGAGCTGATAATGCCACTGTAACCTCTTTGTGGCCCTATTAACCTCCTCCTGTATTGTCTCTCTTTTCTCTGGTTCATTTTCTTTCTTTTTTTCTTGTCAATCTCTGTCTTCTCTTACTGCTTACTGTGGTCGTGATTAAGTGTCCCAGATTAGTACCAAAGTAAGTAAACAACATTAGCGAGTCAGCCAGCCAATCAGAGTGGCGAGCACTGAGTCTCCAGTGACACGCTGACCTGCTGCCAGAGTCTGTGTGCGTTTCCACAGCAACTTGCTGTAAAAGACACACAGGCAACACTTCCATAATGCAGGGAGATTGAGAGAATGAAACAAGGAGAGAGAGAGAGAGAGGTTATGCTGCTCCAAAAATAGGTACACCGTTGATGAGTACAAGCCTCATTCACCAGAATTGACACTTTCTTCAACTTAAAGTCAAATGGGTGCTGATTTAACTTTTCACTCATTGAAACAATATCTTCAGGGAGTGTGAAGATGCATACTTTGGTATGTTTCCTTACATCTATTCATTCGGCTATCTTTAGAACTATGGGACAAAAAAATGTATATATGAGTATATCATAGCCACATGAGTCCCTATACACACTCCTACTCTACCTATTTAATTAAAGGGACAGTTCATCCAAAACGAAACATACTTATTTTACTCATTCTTATGTCGTTTCAAACCTGGTTGACTTACACAAAAGAATGTTATGAAAAAATGTTTCAGTGTATTTTGTCCATACAATGAATGTCAGTGTGGTCCAGTATAGTTTTGGACCCCAGTGACTTTCTTCTGCAGGTTTCAAATTAAATGAGGGTGAATAAACAAAGATAAAAATGTAAGTTTTTAGATGAACTATCCCTTTAATAGTTGTGGTTCCAATGTTACCTTCCTATCATGCATTAATATGGCACCTTTACCAGTAAGGGTGATGAAATGGGAGATGTAACTTGCAAAAAGGTACAGAGGTGAACCCTCACCTCAGCTGAGGCGACTTTGGACAAGTATGCATTTACATTCCAGGACTGCGATTTTTAATGAATATTCACTGACAGAAAAATCTTTTTCTAGGCCAGGTAGATAGGCAGTTGCACAGGTGTTAGGCCAGCTTATGCTACTGTGGTAGTTTTAGTTGTTACAAGTAACTTGTAACAAGTAAGCTTCTTGTTTAAATGTTACCTTCATGGCCATTGGTCTTTGTCAGTTATCTGGCCTTTGTATCATCTTGCCAGAGTCACGTTATCTGCCAAGAGTTCTTGACTTTTGTTTTGGTAATCTTAGTTTGTACTATCTCCAGAACAGTACACCGGAAACTTTGTTACAGCCCAAATAGGCTGTTCCAGGATTTTGTCGAGGGATTTTGCAAGACCTGTAGGTTAACTGGTATCTGTCATTCTTTCTCTTTCTCTCTGTCTTTCACTGCCTTTCTAGATGTCCAATTGGCCTTAATTTGAGCCTCCAAATTTATCTCCTCAGCAGCTTGTGGAGGACGGAGGAAATAGCTTGTCTAAATGATGAGGAGTAGAGGAAGAATAAAAAATACAAAAAGTGATGAATGGTGCAAAAATGGAAATCACAAGGTATTCTAGAAATCTCTCTGTGCTGTAAGAGTGTGTTTGTGTTTGCCATTAAAGGGAGGTTTTACATTTACTTACCTTAATGTCATTCCAAACCTGTATGACTTTCTTTCTTTTGTAGAACACACAAGTAAATAGTTTGAAGAACATTGGGGTCCAATGTTAGGGTGTTCCACAAAAGAAAGACAGTCATACATGTTTGTAACGACAAGAGAGTGAGTAAATCATAACAAAATTTTCATTTTGGAGTGAACCCTTTAAGTGTCTTATTGCAGAGATGTCAGCAAATTGTGGTGTCTTTTTACAAGCTGTAACGCTTTACAAAAATAACTTAAGACTCTTACCTCCATCAGAGTATGTCTCCGTTCCATATCCATCTTGTAGGCCATTGTTCCATGTACCCTCGTATTTGCCACTGGTTCCTGTGCTTTCCCGCACACCATAGCGTCCCTTAAATCCATGTGTCCACTCACCTTTATAAACCCACTTGCCCTTGTTTTCAACTCCAATTCCATGGCGCTTACCTTGCGCCCATGTCCCCTGATAGGTGTTCCCACTGGGCCAGGTATAGATGCCCACCACCTCAAAGCCGTGGCTCCAGGAGCCTGCGTACTCGCCTTGGCCCTTGGGTCCTGTGCAGATGCCATGGCCATGGGCCTTTCCCTCTTCCCACCCTCCACAGTATGATCCCCCATCATCAAAGTTGAACCTGCCCCCAGTGGACATGCATGAAATAGGTTTTGGCAAATACCCCAAATCTCAAAAAGAAAAGAAAAAGAAAAGGAAGTAAGACCCAAACAAAATCAGACTTGGAAATGGGGCTGGGGTGTTGGTGGAACGCTGGGGAAGGAAAAGACCCGTATATGCTCCCTTTAGTTGCCTTAAAAACAATGCGAAAAGTTAAAAGAAAAAAAGAGGAGCCCTCCCGGGCAGTAGTCCCCTCCTGTCAAACTAGGCAGGAGCTGCTTGAGCCCTCTCAGACCATCCTCCTCCAGGAGTGAAGCTTTTTATTCACAAGTTGCTTGCTTTCCTGCAGCTGCTTATCAGTGATGAAAGTGAGACCACGCCAGCCATGCGTCTTGTTCTGTCATTACCAACGCAGCAACAATTCTCTCGGTTCTGGTGCTCTGGCCCCCTCCTCGTTCCTGCCTCCACAGAGGGCCCCTGTGCCAGCACACACCTACCCTCACTCCTGCTCACCCACTCTGGGGCTTTGAGCTGTTTCACTTCCCCTCCCAGTTGCTGAGACCACCAGGCTCCACCTAGAAACCTGTGAGTCTTCAGAGTGATGGCCGATGGATGAAGCAGGCAGGTAGCATTTACAATCGCATCCTTTCTGCCAGGAGCTCACCTACTGTTGTACCAAATCCACCCGACATACTGATGCCACACAGGGAGACAGAGTGCAAGAGAAACCAGAAAAAAAGCGATGGATTCTGCAAGCTTCAGTCGCTGTCAGCTAGCAGCAATGCAGTCTCTATCCACACACGATCACATGCATATATACGCACTCTCTCGCCAGCACAGGATAAGCGTGCAGCTTGATCGCAAACAAACTGATGTGATTAATTCCTTATCTGGGCACTGTTTTGTGGCTGTCTCTGCTTTCCTCTCAGCTCTCTTTTCAGATCTGTATAAAAATCCTGTGCTCCGGTTCGCTTGCAGGTGGGAAAACCAGATTCATTGTTCCTGATTTACCTTCTTCTGTTCCTCCTTGACTCAGTCATGTTGTTGGAATGATTTTCGTATGATGCTGATGTCTTTTTCTCCGTCGTCATCTTATTCCCCCATATGTTTGGATGTCTCTCTCTCTCTCTTACACTGGTGTCTCTCAAATCTGCTCATTAGAGGAGGACTGTTCCAACGCAGCCAACTCCCCCTCCCCCTTTCACATGCTCTCTCTCCCTTGCTCTCCCTTAATTTAAAGAGACATGCACTGTGTTAATACTTACCGCTCTCTCTCTGTCTATCCACCTCAGGGAGCAAAGATTGCTTTTCCTAATTGCCCGGCTTAGTCCTCCCCCTACCCTCCCGATAAATCTCCATTGCTCTGCCCTCATAGAATAATTAGAGCATTTGTCAGTTAATGATATGGCTTGAGATGGTGCATTAAATCTCTTTGTTGCAGGTGAGATAATATAAAATCTGCTCTGTTGACCTAGGCACTTGATCATCCTTACTGTTCTTTACTGGATTCCGTGATATCTGTAAGGCACAAAGAGCATCTTTTACTGTGGTGACTCATATGATTCATGGCCAAAGTATTTTATAATTGAAGACATATCACTTCATACAACACTGTAACAGATTGCTGAGAACATCATGCAGTTCTTCATGTCTTGGTTTATAATGGCTTGTACAGTGTTTGTCCTTCATTCTCAAACAGTAGTATCTGGTAAGAAAGCACATTAGTATGCAAGAGGATACATGAAGACTTTATACCACACTTGTCATAATCAGAGCTTATAATTTGTAAATAAATAATTACTGGATTCAAAACAGCAATTAAAAGGCGCTGTCACCGACACTTGACAACACGTTTTCCCAGAGCATTCAATGATGTCACTAAACGGTGATGCCACAACAAGAGCAACGTTCACAAGTTTCTGCATGGACCTAACTAGCCTAGGCACAGGTTTTCAAGCCCTGCGACAAAATGGGATGCTTTAAGGAAAATGTATAGCCTATGTAAGTAATAGGCCTAAATAAAAATAACAATTTGTTTT